CCCTTTAAAGCGAGGCGACAGGAAGAGAGAAATTAGATAAAAGGAGAGAGAGAGAGAATGGAAGAGAAAAGCAACAGAAAGAGATGAATCAGATAAAAGAAGAGAAATAATGGAAGAGGAAAACAAAAAAGATAAATTAGATAAAAAGGAGAAGGAATGGAAAAGAAAAACAACAGAAAGAGAGAAATTAGATCAACGAAGAGAAACAATGGAAGAGAAAAGCAAAAGAAAGAGAGAAATTAGGTAAAAGAAAAGAGAAAAACAGAAAGAAAAATTAGATAAAAGGAGAGAAGAGAAAAACAACAGAAAAAGAGAAATTATTATATAGAAAGAGAAAAACAACAGAAAGAGAGAAATTAGATAAATGAAGAGACAGAATGGAAGAGAAAACAGACAGAAAGAGAAATTAAATAAAAGAACACAGAGAAAATTGAAAGAACAAAAATAATAGAAAAAAAGGGTAAAAGTTAAAGGAAACAGAAAAAAAAATAAAAAAAAGAAAACAAACAGATGGAAAATAGGTTTTTAAAATATAATAAAAGAAAAAAACAGGAGAGAAAATAGATAAAAGAACTAACAGAAGGAGTAAGCATTGATAAAAAAATAATAGAAATGAAAAAAAAACTGCACGAGAGAAAATTGATAAAAGAATTAACAGAAATAGAAAAGAAAACTAACAGAAAGAGAGAAAATAGATAATAAACTAACAGAAATAGAAATAATAGATAAGATAACAAACAGAAATAAAAAAGGAAAACCAACAGAAAGAGAGAAAACATGGAATAACAAAAGAAGAGGAAGAATAAAAGAGAATCAACGGAGATAAAAAAAAAAATAAAACAAATCCAAAATAAAGAAAGAGATGAACAATAACAGAGAAAAAAGACATGAAAAATAAGAGAAATAGAAAAATAAGCAAAAATAAAAGAGATGGAAAATATGAGAAATGGCAGAAAATAAATATAAAACCAAAACAGAGAAAGAAAAGAGATGAAAATAAGAGAAATAACAGCAAATGGAAAGAAAACCAAAACAGAGAAAGAAAAGAGATGAAAATAAGAGAAATAACAGGGAAGATAAAAGAAAAAAAAGAAAAAGAAAAAAAGAGAGAAAAAAAAACAGAAAAAAAAATAGAGAAAAAAAGATGGAAAATGAAAGAAAAAATAATAAAACAAAACAGAATAAAGAAAGGAAAACACAAACAAAAGAGAGCCATCGGAAAGATAAAAGGAGAAAGAACCCAAAGTAGAGAAAAATGAGAAATAACAATGAAGAAAAGCAAATAAAAGAAGACCAACAGAAAGAAAAACTAAAGAGAATAGGAATAACGAAAGAGGAAATAAAGAGAACATGAAATTAATACATATAGAGATAATAAAGAGAATACGATATGAAGAGATAAATAAAAATGAGGAGATAAATTATGAAAGAAGAAAATAAATAAAGAGAAAAAATAATTAAGAGAAAACAAAGCGAACCCGAAAAAATAAAGAGAAAATAAATAGATAAAGAGGAGATAAACAAAGAAAAAGAAAATAAAAGAGAACAAACAAAACGAGAAAGATAAAAAAAAAAAAAAATCGACCAGGCCCCTCCAATCCTCCCTCCCCCTCCCCACCAACCCCCACCTACCACCCCCCCCCTCCTCATCCCCGCCGCCCAGAAGACAACCTGAGAAAAGGGGGACGCTCGATGCCGGCTCTTTTACCGCTCCGGGAGGTGGAGTTTAATCTATAATACACGCTGGTGGTGGCGGTTGGGCTCCGGGGCCTCCTTCGCCTGTCCCGGACGCCGCGCCCCGCCGCTGTCCGCCCGTCGCCCCGCCCGCCCCCGCCCCCCGCTTTTGGAATCCAATGATGCCCGAAGTTTTTCTTTTGTTTGAAATCTATCTCTTGTTGTTTTTTTTTTTTTTTTTTTTTTTTCTTGGGGGAGGGGGGTCGGGTGTTTATTAGATTTTTTTTTTTTGAGGGGGGGGGGCCGGTCTTGGTACGTGTGATTTTTCTTTCTCTTTCTTAGGATTATCGAAAGTCTCTCTTCGGCGAGTTAAGCCTAACCCCGGCCTGGAATCCTTTTCTCTCTTTTCTCTCATGTGCGTCGCTACCTCTCCTGCTCTCTTCCACGTATTACTCTCTTACGGCAGCCTTTCTCCTCTCTCTCTCTCTCTCTCTCTCTCTCTCTCTCTCTCTCTCTCTCTCTCTCTCTCTCCTCTCTCTCTCTCTCTCTCTCTCTCTCTCTCTTCGCCGCCGCCGCGCCCGCTCTCCCCGCCTCCCTCTCGCTCTCTCTCTCTCTCTCCTACCTACGCTCTCTCTCACTCTCTCTCCCCCGCCAACGAGGAAGACCGCGCGCGCACAGCTTCTCTGCCAAGTGTGAGAGTGACTCGTGGAAACTTCACCTCTCTCACCATTGCTCTTACTTCGACGTCCACAAACCACCAAAGTGTTTTCTGTGTGTGCCTCGTGCTCCCCTAAGGCCATGCCTAACAAGGGAAACAACAAACGACGTAAGTACCAGCCTCGTTTGCCGATGGTTTGCGGTTCTTCTCGCTCCGCCACACTGGGATATCCTGAAAGTGTTTGTGCTGGCGCCGCCTGGGTGTCCTTGCGTGTGTGTGTGTGTGTGTGTGTGTGTCTATACGTCTGTGTGTGTTTTGCAGTATGTATGTCTGTGTGCATGGCGGGCCTAGAATCCCCTTTTTACGTGGTCTTTTTTTATTATTTTCTTTCCGTCTGGTCACGGTGTCTGTCCCTTTGTCATGCAACGCTCCCCGCCCGACGTCGGTTCCCTTGAGGTTTCGCTCCTGTGATAAGCATCTCATCTGTTACGTGGAGCGACGAGCCTCTCGAGCGCTTTGCAATTTGTCCTCCATTAGGTGGCACTTCTCTCTCTCTCGACAGACTGATTGGCTTCGGTCTCGCTTTCATTTCGCCGGTGTATCGACTGATCACTCGGAATTATGATTTTTTTTTTTTCTTTTTTGCTTACCACTGCCATATTCAAGGGAAAATGCCTGTCATGTGAGAGACTGAGATATGGTAAAGATATGCTGGTGATTTTCGATTTCCATTTCGATTCGTTTTAAGAGGGGAAATCCCGGCGAATCCTCCGTCGGCCGAGGAAGAGGGAAAACAAAGGCAAAATCCCCGCCTCGGAAGCCCCCAAAGAGACGCCCATGACGCCGCCCAAATTCCGAAATGGGGCTCGAGGCGGCTGGCCTGTTCCCGCTGCAACAAAGCCCGCGGCCATGCGAGCGGGGACAGGCAGCGGACAGGAATTCCCCGGAAAATAAAGGAAGCAGATGCGACGAGAGGGATCAGCGGATGACTCACCCTTCGGTTACTCTTTGATAAAGGTCAAAGTTCAGATTGCCTCACACGAAAGGAGAGAAAGAGAGAGAGGCGATAATTAAAACCATGACGAGTGCTTACGAAAAGGACGAGAGAGGAGAGAAAAGAACACAGAAAACAAAACTCCTCCCCAACGACCCCCGCATATGACGGAGATGACAGCATGTGGGCCGTGGCGATGTCTCTGGCTCTCCCATGCAGGAGGAGGAGGCCCTCGGGTGCCTGACGCGAGAGCTGGCGATCGGCACGGAGAGGAGGAGGATCGATAGGCGGGAGAATATGGATGGGGAAGCACGCCTCGTAACGACACTCGATATCCTTTGGCTCTCGCACGGACCTACGCATCCTTGGCTGACTTGTTGCTTTCAGATCCGCTCCTTCGGCTGGCTGTGACCTGGACGAGGGCGGCGCTGGGGCGGCTTTGGGGACGCGTGTTGCTGTTACGTCTGTGGATTCCCCCTTTTTTTTTTTTTTTTAGCTTTTTGTGTGAATTTTTATCATCATAATTTTCGTATTTTTTCTCGTGTGACTGGAATGAAGTGAATGGTGATGCGCGCTGAGGTGACGATGAGCAGAGACGGTGGTGGTGATGATGCTAGCGGGCAGGGGAGTCGGCAGGCCTGTTGTCATGGAAGGCTGGCGGTGGAGAGAGATGAGAAGGTCGACGCGGCCAGAGTGCGTAGTAAGGGATACCCGTCGTATTGGGAGGTCGGAAGAAGAGTCGGTGTAGTTCGCGTAATATGTTGAAGTGGCGTGGCTCATACAGAGGGAGAGAGGAGAGAGGAGAAGGAAGGGAGAGAGAGGGAAGGAGGGAGAAAGGAGGAGAGAGAGGGGAAAAGGGAAACAGGAGGAGAGGAAGGAAGGATGTGAAGAGGATGGATGAGGAAGGGAAGAAAGGGTAGGAAAGGAGACAGGGGGAGAGAGAGGGAAGGGGAAGGGAGACAGGGAGAGAGAGGAGGGGGGCGAGGACGGGGGAGAAGGGAGGGAGACGGAGTGGGACAGAGGATGGATGAGGAAGGGAAGAAAGGGTAGGAAAGGGAGAGAGGGCGAAGGGAGGGAAAGGAAAAGAGAGAGGGAAGGAAGGGAGACAGGGCGGGGGGAGGGGAGGAAGGGAAGGAGACGGAGTGGAGAGAGATGGATGAGGGAAGGGAAGCAAGGGAGGAAGGGAAGGGAAGGTTGTAAATGAGGGGACAGAAGGGAGGCAGACAGAGTGAGGGAGGGAGGAAGGTAAGGATGGAAGGAAAGAGAAGAGTGAGAGATAAAAGGGGAAGGGAAGAGGGAAAAAGATGAGTAAGAGGAAAAGAGAGGAAGGAAGAGAGAGAGAAGAGAGGAGAGAAGGGAAAGCCAAGCTAAAGGGGGCAGTTGTAAAAAATTGAGAAGAGGATGATGTGAGAGAGAGAGAGAGAGAGAAGACATGAGGGAAGAGAGGGAGAAGAGAGAGAGAGAGAGAAGAAGAGAGAGGAGAGGGAGAGAGAAGAGAGGAGAAGAGGAGGAGAGAGAGAGGGCGGGGATGGGGGCGAGGGGGGGGGGGGTGGGGGAGGCAAGAGGGAGGAGAGAGTGGGGGAGAGGAGAGAGAGTTGGGGAAGGGAGGAAGAGAAGGAGAGGGAGAGAGAGTGGGGAGAGGGAGAGGGAATGGGTGCAGAGAGAGGAGAAAGAGAGAGGGAGAGAGAGAGGAGAGAGAGAGAGAAGAGGGGAGAAGAAGAGTGAGGAGAAGATCGAGAGAGAGAGAGATGATTATCGAGAGAGGAGCCAGAACAGAGACAGAGAGGGGGAGGGGACGAGGGAGAGGGAAAGAGAGAAGGCGGAGAAGAGAGAGAGAGAAGAAAGAGAGAGCGGGAGAGGGGGAGAGATGAGGAAGAGGGGAGAGGTTAGAGGAGAGGATAGGGGGATGATAGTGTGAGAGAAGAGACGAGGGACGAGGGGAGAGGTGAGAGAAGATGAGGAGAGGGGGAGAGGGGGAGAGAGAGAGGGGGGTTAGAGCGAGAGGAGAGAGAGGGTCTGGGGAGAGGAGAGAGAAAGGAGAGGGAGGGAGAGGGAAAGAGAGAGAGAGGGGGTGAGAGGGAGAGAGAGAGAGAGAGAGGGGGAGAGGGAGAGAGAGAGAGGAGGGAGAGAGAGAGAGGGAGAGAGAGGCGAAGAAGAGAGAGGACCAGAGAGGGAAGAGAGAGAGGGGGGAGAGAGAGAGAAAGTGAGATGAGGGGAGAGGGGGGAGAGAGAGAGAGAGAGGGAGAGGTAGAGAGACAAGGGGGGAGAGGGGACGAGAGAGAGGGGAGAGCCGGTGGAGAGGGAGGAGAGAGAGGGGAGAGGGGGAGAGAGGAGAGGAGAGGAGGGGGAGAGCGGAGAGAGGGAGAAAAGGGGGGATCGAGGTGAAGAGAGAGAGAGAGGAAGAGAGAGAGCAGGGGGGAGAGGTGAAGAGAGAGGAGAGGGGGAGAGGGATAGAGAGAGAAGGGAAGAGTGAGAAGGGAGAGGGGAGGGGGAGAGACGAGAGGGGGAGAGGGGAGAGAGAGAGGGGGGGAAGAGGCGAGAAGAGAGAGAGAGGGGAGAGGGAGAGAAGAGAGCATGGGAGAGGAGAGAGAGGGGGAGAGGAAGGAGGGAGAGGGAGAGGGAGAGGAGAGAGGAGAGGGAGAGGAGGGGAGAGGGAGAGAGAGAGGAGAGGAGAGGAGAGAGAGAGAGAGAGAGGAAGAGAGAAGAGCAGAGAAGAGAGAGAGAGAGAGAGAGAAGAGAGAGAGAGAGGAGGAGAGAGAGAGAGAGAGAGAGAGAGAGAGAGAGGGAGAGAGAGAGAGAGAGAGAAAGAGAAGAGAGAGAGAGAGAGAAGAGAGGGAGAGAGAGAGAGAGAGAAGAGAGAGAGAGAGAGAGAGAGAGGAGAGAGAGAGAGAGAGAGAGAGAGAGAGAGAGAGAGAGAGAGAGAGAGAGAGAGAGAGAGAGGAGAGAGAGAGAGCAGAGGAGAGAGAGGAGAGAGTGAGAAGAAGAGAGAAGGAGAGAGGGGGAAGGAGAGAAGAGAGAATGGCCAACCTATAAAATCTGAGTAGGATATTTGATTTTACGAAGCTCATTTGTTTCGAAACATTGTCTTACCTTCTTTAACAAACTTTAAAGTTCGTCGACCGCCAGGACTTTTGCTGTTAATGCTGTACCACTTGGTCGGAGTTTCCACTCAAGCCAGCGCACAATCTGGAGTTGGTGTTGTTTCAGCTAACAAGGCCACGGCGGCTGTTGGCTGCTTCGGTGCGTTCCGGGCTTGAGAGGAACCGGATATTGTTGAATTGTTCTAATTAGTCGTACTTGCTGGCGGTTTTTGTTCACGAGACGAATGGGCCTCTCCCTCATTTCGCTGCGTTATTGCCGTTGCAATATTGCGGCTGCCGATGCTTCTGCGACTGTTGCAGAGGCTGCTGCATATATTGGCTTTGTTACTGCTTCCGCCGCTGCCTGTTACATCACTATTACTCTGACTATTACTGCGTGGTTGCGGGCACGCGCGCATGTGTGTGTGTTTATGCGATAGATAGATACAGACACACACAGACACCACACACACACACAACACACACACACACACACACACACACACACACACACACACCACACACACACACACACAACACACACACACACACACACACACACACAATACACACACTACACACACGTATATACACACGCACGCACACGCATGTACGTAAGCACAGTAGTAGCTAAAGTAGAGTGGTGTAATAAGCAACGGCAGCAGCAGCACCAATGCCAATATATGCATTGGTGTATATACAACACACGCACATACACATGCGCGCGTGTGTGTGCGTCGATATCTACATCTATCTATCTGTTTATGCACACACACACACACACACACACACACACACACACACACACACACACACACACACACACACACACACACACACACACACACACACACACAAACACACACACACAAACACACACATCATGTGTCCGTATGTCTCTATGTACACGTGTGTTGTACTTGCGCGCCTGTGTGTACTCCCCCGCGACCGCCCAGCCAGATCGGGAGCGAGCAAAAGCCGAAGCCCCAGGGGGCGGCGGGCCCGGGGCGCGGGCGGCGGGGGGCGGGAGTGAAAGGACGCAAATCGGGAATAAACACCGCTGCTTCAGAGGGGCTCTCGGGGGAAGGCGCGGC